TCCAGCACCTAAGCAGTTCGAGCGTTTAGGTGTGAGCGCTCCTTCGAGTTTTGGGCTTGGTGGCTTCAAGTTCTGGAGGCCTTTACACTCTCGTACAGAAACCCAATCAACTCCAGGATTCCGTGAAGGTCTGACTTGGTACTGTGGCCTCTCAAAGCACCCAGAACCAGCCCGGGCCTTGGACCTCGGAGGCAGGGCAGATGCGAGGACCGCAGAAGCTTGTCGAGGCCACTCAAACCCTAAACCCCAAGGCGAGAAGCCGGAACACATACCATAAACCCAACTTGAAGATTCCCAGGTGATGAACCTCCCTGCAGTCACAGCCATCGTCGAAGTCTTCGTCGTCTCCATATCTCTCAATGATCTTTTACCAGAATCAAAAGCCCTAAACCTTCATCAAGCTTGCAAAAAGAAGGAAAAACCGTAATTCTGTCATCCGAAAAAGAAGCACACCTTCTCAAGACTGCCCCGGCACGCCCCGCAAAGGAATCTCCGCGGTGGCGAGAGGCATGTAATAGCGACTCGCCCCTGGGACCCACAAAGAGTCTGGGATCTTCTGGGCTAGCGTCCGGGTCCAGGGGGTCTGTTGGGATACAAAGCCCTGTAATTCCAGGAAGCTCCGGAGTCCTGAAACCCCAGGTCCTCTTGCGTGAACTCCCAGGAGGGTCCGAGGGTCGCGGGAGAAGTGAATCGGGCATGCAGGGGCTTGGAGTTCATGAGGCATTTGGGCTCAGAGGGAAAGGCTTGGGGCCTGGGGGCTCTTTGAGGCTTGCGGACTCCCGGACTCCCTGGAGGTTTCAGAGGGTCTTTGAGCTCGGGGCTTCTCGAAGACTTCGGGGTTGCAGGGCCCAAAGTCGCCTGCGGGCCGCCGCGCCAGCCCCAAGTCCCGCGTGCGCTCGTAGCTGAACACCGTCATCTGGTCGGGCGAACGGCTGGGACATAAACGCAACTACATCAATACCAAGAGTAACGGGAATACTGATGGGACGGTACGAACAAGAAAACTGCCAAAAAGAATTGCATTGGAAGAAAAAGAACTATTAGCAATACTCATGCTCGTGCTGAGACCACGGAGACAACGAAGGTGATAGCCATAACAGTAGCACCACCGACACTAATGCTGCTCAAAACACTATATACGCAGACCTTTGACAAGTGCTACAGATGGAGCAGAGCACAACAACCGTCGTAGTTTATAATGATGACAATGATGACCATCAACAACCACAGCAACGTCATCACCATCACCAGCCTCGCTGTTGTCTTCCTTTCATGCTCGCACTCCCTGCTGCTACTCTGCTTCAGGCGCACAGTTCAATCAAGCAGAATTAAACAATAAATGCGAACTCGTGCAAAAGCCCTGGATGGGAAATCTGATGCCACTCGAAGCCTCTCGTCAGAACTGGGCTCGCTCCTTGGGAACCCGTGGCCATAGCTACCACATCGAAATCACAAGAACCGAGACCAATCATTGCAGCGGCTCCAGATTCTTCAACATTCCCTAACGCTCTGATGGAGCCCCCAACCCAAACACTTGCCAAGATCCTCGGAAGCCAATAAAGTCGGTAGAAAAGCCGTAAAAAGTCTGAACCGGTGCAGGAAGAAGACAATTCCCTTCCGGAGACTCGTGAAGAAGCCCCCATGTCTACACCCCGCCTCGAGGCTGGCATTGTTCAGGTCCGAGCAGGTGCCCCGCAGATAGCCCCGGAAGGCCTTGCGCCCCTGACGAGCAGAGAAAAGCCAAGCGGCTCCACTCAGCCACAAAGCCCGCTCTCCCAAAACGCCCCCAGAAGAGAAGCCCCAAGAAGCGAGCACAGCGCACCCAGGCGTCCCAGACGATGCTCCCACGATCCTGAGGATGTACCGTGAAAGTCTAAAGTTCCTAGTGCGCAGAGCGCGGTCCAGGGTCCTCTATTCTATGGGCAGCCTTTCCAAAACTGCTCTCCCTCGCCCCGTTCTCAGCCCCGAGCCGCAGCAAACCCACCAAAACCGAAGACCCTCACTCCCCGCAAAAAGCCCACAGAAAACAACCCCGAAACACCGAAAACCCATGAGAAGCCCAAAACCCCCAAACAACCACGAATTCCCATAAAGCCAGACCAGGCGTCGTTGGGGCTCTTCCTGGAGCGGAGGAGAGAGCCCCGGCTGCCGAACTTCAGGAGCCCAGGGGTCTGGATCTTGATCCTCGGCGGAGGTTCCGAGGGCCGGGGCGCCTACGCCGTAGACACAGCTTTGAGACGGGAAGTTTTCGACGTAGGCTTTGGGATGCAAGCTTGGGTGTATTGAGACTGGGGCGTACCTCAAACCTCGAGCCCATGCAGCGGTTCTGTTCGTGGCGGCTGGCCTGACATGAAGCTAAGATTCGAAGAGAAACATCTTGAAGACTCTCACGATTCAAGGTGCGGAAACTCGTGGGAACTTTAGGCTTTAGGATGCCTTTAGGCTATCTTGCCGAAAACCCTCGACCGCCCACCGTGAAGCCTTGAACCCAGGACTCAGAAGCCCTGGCCCCTTGGGCCCGGCGGCGACTGCTGGGGCATCTCATCTGAAGTCATTGTTGCAGCCTCACAGCTGGAAGGCCGTGCTCCCGGCGGTTACCAACAAGGCTCTCCAGCGGTTCCCGAAACACGATTCTGGGGCCCATAAGCAGGTGGCTTCGGCTTGGCGCCCGGGGCTTGTAACGGCTTGCGCGGATGCATGTTTGGTTGTTCTCAGGAAGATCAGGTGCTCGGATTATCGTGTACTGTATAGTGTCAAGGAGGTCGCTATATTCAGCACGACTCTGATTATGTTCATTCCCTGCTTGTCTTGCAGTCCCTTTCACCCTTCTTGCCCACTTCGTGTGCACAAAGCCTTCGGTCTCGCTGCTGTTGCTGACTTTACAGAGAATAATGCTGATTTGTATTGACCGTGGCACCCATTTCCGGTCTGAAAGAATTTGCACACTGCACAGGTAGATAAAGAGACTTCCTTTCAACATGGCTCCGATCGTGGGGTCTTGGGTTGACCATGTGCTGGCTCAAGCTTCGGAATCTTCATGTGATCAAGCTTAGAGTCTGAGAGTCTTAGAATGGGGACGGTATTCTGATGTGACCTTTGCTATGAACATGCTTCCTTCAACCTAACTGCGTTGGTGCACGTGTGTCTTGGCTTGGGCTGCACAGGGCCCCGGGCCTTCGTCATGGTGACCCCCATGGTACTGCGGCCCATGCTGCCCCTTTCACCACCCTCGGAGCTTTCGAGTGGTTTGGGTATGTCTTGTATTGCGCGCTGAGGTTGGGAATGTCAGTCTTGGGCTTCGTGAAGAAAGTCAGGCCTGTCTGTTTGGTGGTTGTCCGACGACTTGCGACGCTCCTCTAGGCGAGGATGAACTCTTCGGGGACATGGGTATCTCTCCGGTCGGGGCACCCAACATGAAACCCAGCAAATGGTGACAAACAATGTCGAGAGTCGATTGCATGAACTTTCGAGAGCTTCGATTTCAAGACGTGAAGCTCAGGGTTTCAGGCACAGACAAGGAAGCGGATCTTTGGTGTTGCAGGGCCAATGGATCCAGGCCAGGTCACACCGCCGCCGAGCTCATCGTCATCTTCCTCATCGATTCCTTCCCTGCAAGGACCGGGATATGCGTTCAGACCCAGGCACTGAAAAACTGTCACCCTCTGATTTGTCACCCCTAATTTGCGTGCATGAGTCTTTGTGCCTCTGTTCAAAGCCTACTGGCCAATCTGTGCCGATGCCGTACGAAGCCCTTTGCCAAGTGCAGCGGAGCCGGGGCAAACAAAACACCGAGCACAAGGATGTTGTGGAACGTCAACTGTGCCGAAGATTCTGTGTTGAGGAAGCCTTAGGCACCTTCGTGTGCTGAAATTGTGGGATGATGACCAAAAAGCTGTGAATCGACACGTCGCCAATTACAGTAGGGATTCGTCGAGCCCTGAATCTAGACGCATCGCGTTGAACGTTCCGAGCACTTCGGGACGTCTTCCGGCCTCAAGCGATGCAGGATCCGTGCACAGGTGGGCAACGAAGATGCGCGCCAAACCTGTGTGGATCAATTCGCGCTAGATGCTAACCCTGGGTTCAAGGATGTGGAGGTTGAGGATTCAAGTGCACACTTCATGTAAGGCAAGGTTTCGAAGTGAAGCTTGCCGATACAATGCTGACAGAAAGACTTGACACGGTGGTGAGCCCGCTGAATCCGATAGTGAGGATATGCATAGTAGGCATATACGTGTACGTACACATTAACACATATATACATATACCGTACACAACATACATACACAAATAGTTGTGCATGCATGCATGGATGCATGGATGCATGGATGCATGGATGCATGCATGCATGGATGCATGGGTGCATGGATGCGTGGATGGATGGATGGATGGATGGATGGATGCAAGTACAGAGTACGGCAGTGAAGCGCTGCACCAAAGTTCAGAAAGGAGGCAGACTTTTATCACTTCTTGCAGCTTGAAGCTCGTATGTGGGGTTGGGGTTGAATGCATCCTGGGCACGGGCATGGAAAGCTCGAAATCATAGATCTCCTGGATGCGCCATGCAGCGCCGGCCATGGGGTGTTCAGGAGTCGGGCTTCTTGGCTCCCCACGGTTTAAGCGGCTTAGTGGGCCACTTGTTTCGGTCGGGGCGTCGAAACGTTTCGGGCTTCTTATGATAAGTCTTCCAGGATGCTGACAGAACCAGAATCCACTGACCCAAGCCCCACTCTTTAGGGCAGCGGGTTCGGCGATGCAGCAGACACAGAAGTCCTGGAAGAAGAGCCTCGGCCCAAGGCTTTGTGAGATCTTCAGAGAGCAAAGTAGCACTCGCCTATCCCAAGTCTTCTTAACGAAAAAGCCCTCAAAAGCCGAAAGGGCCTGGTCATTCACGGCCTGACAAGAACCCCAGGTTCCAGACCCTTCGACACACGCTTTCGCACTCGAGGGCCCGAGGAGGCTTCACTTCGACCATCTTCCGCCCTTCAGGACCACTTCTTTCACAGCCCCGACTCCCAAAAGCGGAGCCCTAGCCCTCCCCCGAAAGGTGTTTTTCCAGGGAGCTTGAAGGACACCTTCACGCGGCATTGCTTCTTCCCGAACTTGTCCACCTTCCAGAGGCGCAAGGGGCGTTCTGTGGGCTCTTCCCTGGCCTCTGGGCCGCCCTCTCACGGCTCAAAGCCTCCAACGAGGGGCCCGAGGGTGTAGGTTTCTGGGGCTCCCCGAGCCTTGTTGCACTCCATCTCGTTCTGGATGGGCCCCTTCGCGAAGCCCAGCAACTGCTCCTCGTCGGAGATATACGAAGGGCAGATTGGATTCCATCGTACCCCGAAGCCCTCATGTGCCCAAAGTCCCGGATCCCTACAGCTGCTTCATGAAGTCATATCCCTTCATCCTGGCCTCTGCAAAGCAGTCGAACTTGTTCACTCGCCAACGGGCCCAGTTCCAGATCTCGAGGCCTGGGAAAGCCGTCGAAGTTGAGAAGTCCTTTATACCCGGGGTTCAAACTCTCGAGGGCTTCTTAGGCTTTTCAAGCCTCTACACGTCCTTGATAATGTCAGTCCAGGATACATCGTAAAGCGCAAACCCCTGTTCTACAACCTGGAACCTGTACAAACCTGCATGCTGCGTCTTGTCTCGACTCTGGTTCGATCTTCGGCTTGTTGGTTATCCGCACCAGTGCAACAGCTGGCAGGCCCGAGTCGTGCCCACGTTTGGGAGGATATGGAGCCTGCACTTCGGGCACAGCAGCTCTTCAGATCCAGATCTTTTGTGCGTTGGTGCCCAGAGCTCACCCGGCGAGCTGCTTTTCCATTCTCTAGTTACTCTAGTTTGCAGAATGCACCTCCGCCTTCAATGCCTGTTTCAAAACTAAGACCTGGGCATGGCCGGAACCCGCAACTGTTGAATCCTGAAATGTCAGCTAGAAGAATCTTTCAGCCAAGAACATTAGAAACTGCTGGCAGCGCGTGTTATTTCAGGTAGGAGACTTCTTTTGGGTGCAGAACAGACAAGCGTCTACGTCGTTCCTTCCGTCCTCCGTCCTCCTCGCCCGATCCCTAAACCAGCTGCCAGCTGTTTTTCGGGCTCTTGGACACTCGGGGTCGACACCATTCTCCTGATTTCGAGCCGAGGCCCAAACCCCCAAGCTCCAAAAAAAAGACCCAAACCCCAAGAGCCCCAAATCTCACAGCCTGAAACATCCTCAGCCTGTCTTTGACCCGAGTTCTTGCGATCCAGTGGCGGAGCGTCTGCCTCTCCAGATCCAAGTAACTCCCATGCCTTGAGCCAATAGGAAGAAGATCCGATTGCTTCTTAAACCGTTCTAGTCTGAGACGCCCCTCCTCTGGCTGCTGGCATGACTGGCATCACGATTCGAGCATCACTCATGGTTGCTGCAAGTATATTGCCGCTAGGAGCCTTGCAAAAGGAGGAGTTGGGCTTCCAAGGCTTTCAAGGCCATCGAGGTTTGGGTCTGACTTCGGGGTTCAGGGTTCAGGGTTCCGCTCTTTGACTGAAGGCTGCACGTGTTGGGGCTGGATTCCGAAGTAGTGCAGCTGAGGCGGTCTTCCCGCCCAAAAACCCTAAAGCCTCAACGAACCCTGAAAGCCTGCAAATGCAAAAAGAGACTCAACTCCCAAACCCAAAGAAAAAAAGTCCTGCCCCCACCCCTCCGAAAATGCAACAGCGAGTATCAAACCCATAAATATGACTCTACATGTACCTATTACATAACCAACTCGCTATCGAGCCAGCTCGCCAACTAGCTAGCTAGCGAGCTAGCTAGCTAGGTACTTGTAGCTAGGTAGCTGGGTAGATGGATACATAGATATGGAGGTAGATAGGGTCTATGCATGTAGCACTACAGCCGCGGTGCCACTCGAACGACGTGTCGAAGTCACACTCCGTGTCTTCACCATCACCTGCGGATGTGTCAGCGTGCCACGGCCAAGTCTGTGCAGACCGTCTGTGAAAAGCACACCGAAAATCCTGCTCGTTTTTTCCCTTCTCTCTCATGTCCTTCTGCATCCTTGCCTATAACCCAGAAAGATTGAAGCCTCCAACTCGAGCGTCTACTCATAGAGTCATAGAGCCTGAACTTCTAGAAACCGCCCATCCCTGCTCTTAACCGAGAAGGCTTCGGGGAGAGAAAACCCTACGAATCCCGAAACCCGAAGCTTGAGTTCAGCGCTTCCTGACAGTTCCTGACCTCCCTGAATCCGAAGGCTGGTGCTTAGTGAGGGCCTACAGCAGAAGCTCCGATCCTTGAAGGCACGAATCCTGAACCCAGCAGCCCAAACCGATCCTCACGCCGCTGCAAGTAAGAAGCCGCCAGCCAGAGTTGAACCAGCTTGTTGAAAGAACTGCTGCTATACATGAAAATGTACAATACAAGAGGACAGCGAGATTCTCACTGGTCACATCAAGGGCGTTGTGGCCCCTAAGGTCGGGGTGCAGACTGTCCATCTCAAGGTCCATCTCAAGGCCCCACTGCATCCGCAGATCCGATGAGCCCTCCTTGCCTGGCACGTCGTGCACCACCGGCGTGCGGAGGATAACGCCTTCGTCGCCTTTCAAATTGGCAAAACTCGTGGGGACATGTGGAGATCGTGTACTTGGCCATGTTTCAGGCTCTCCGACATCCAAAAACCCGGACCGGAGGTACTACTATGACGACGATCGAAAAACAACTCTGGCAGCACGACGCCGGTGGAGACACGTGACCACTGACAATAACTGCAATGATTCCTGGAACCAGCTTGGTTACGATTACGAGAACTAAATGGTGTCTTTCTTGCATCAACTAAGCTGCGGCCCTGCGGCCTGCCACCCAAATCGCGGGCTCCTTTCCCCCGGAGCGGACAAGGAACTCCTCCTGCAGGCCCCACACCAGGCTATACGTTTGGCGGGCCGAAGCCCCGCATTTTAGAGTTCGGGGCTTCAAGTACAGTGCTCAGAGCATCGGCTTTCGAGTGGCCTTGCAAACACCCTGGCGAGCGGCGGCAAAAGCTGAGAGGATATGATGAGCGGCAGCTTGGGAAGCACGGCGTTTATCCGACGCCCCGAAGCCCCTGAATTCCTTGGTGCCCCCGAAGATGAAGTTCGCGAAGACCAAGATTGCTTCGTCAGTCATGTTCTCGATGCGCACCTGCGGAGGGCCAGGCTTTGGAATGAATCACGTAGTGACTGCGAGCATTCCTGCCACCATCCGGTCTTGCATCTAATGTGGTCTCTGCGGCCCTACATCTACTGTCCTAGGTCCTAGCTGCTGTCTGGCAAATGCAAAAAGTGGATGTGGAGCCCAAAGCCAGTGCCTGGCCGGAGCCCCAAATGCAAACACCAGCTAAGCCCAGCTGCACCCGACTCTCAGCGAGGACAGCGGCTGTTCGAGGTATGATACAGCAATAGATAAGATTACCACAAATGGAGGCAAGCAGGTTGCCCAACCGGACTCATGCAGCGCAAGTTTCGGGAACAGTCGAGCTTCTTGTGTTCGTCCGGTTTGAAGGCTAGGGCCCTCCTCTCAATGACCTCCAAAGACCTTCGACCACCAAGCCAGCAGGAGTGCCTGCCAAAGCCTCACTTGCCATCGCCTTGGGCGAGACCAGTGATCCCGTTCCTGCATGCTTTGGGAGGATTTTGAGTTGAGAAGGAGGCGCCACGCTACAATCTCAAGATCAGGCTTGAGGGTGGACGGGTAGTTATTCGCTCATCAACGTCCTGCGGCGTACCAAAAGGGCCCCCTAGTGTTGGTCCCAGGACATGAATCCATGCGTTCCCGAACTTTCTGGGAAACAATTCGCCACCTGCACCTGTCTGCCGACTCCCAGGCTCCGGAGCAGCTTCTACGAAGAAATTGAATGGTAGAGAGAGCACCAAAAACGTAAAAAATGACAAACAGACTTCCTGAACTTGCAATGGATAGAAGAACGAAGACATGATTGAGAGCAAGCCGGAATTGCAGTCGTACAAATACAAACCAACAGTGAAAGACGTTAGCAGCAGCAGCAGCAGCAGCAGCAGCCGCCGGAGCAGCAGCAGCTGAAGCAGCGCGGAACGAACCCTGAGATCTTTGAGGGCAAGTCCCAGTCCTGCTCCGTCTCACCCCTTGGGGGTGGAGCCGATCTCTCTTCGACCTCCTTGTCAGGGGAGCAGCATAAAGTTGAGAGTTGATGGTCCTTCCGTGTTCTTCCTGAATCCTTGCGGGCTTGTGGGCTTTTGGGGGGCAAGGTGTCTTTTGTTGCACAGCTCTTGTACGTCTGAATCTGCATGCATCTGGGCAAACTTGGGAGGAAGATCAAACACAAGGTGTAGGGTCCACTGCTAACAGCAGCTCCTAAACTTCAATACCGTTGCCCTAGACCCCTGGCAGGAGCTCTGATGCTCAAACTCTTTCAGGTCTGAGTTCAACAGTCTTTGGGCGCAGAGTTTTCGACTTTGGCTTCAGCATTCTACCCGATCACGTGACTTCCCCACAGCAGCACAGTGACCTCAAATCAGGACTTGCCCTTCTTTCAGAATCGACCGAGAAAGCTAGGGGGCTTGGCGGCAACTCTACCCTGAGAGCCTCCTGAAGTAAAGCTGCGGATGCTCTCAGCCTGAAGACCCGAACAGAAATCCGCTGTGGGAGGAGATAATGGCTCTTCGGGAGGGTTCGAGTCTCATGCTTAAGACGTGCCATGTGCGACCCAGAAGTGAGTCCTTGAGAAACTGCTCTGGGTTGATCTTTCGAGTCTTTGCCACCTGCGTGACTTCCTCGTCGCCTTCTCCATCTCCTACGACATCCGCTGAAAATAACGAGGGCTTGGAGATGTTGTCAATTTAAGGCCAAAGTTGGGCACGCAGGGAGGTCGAGTAAAAGCAAAGAGCAGTGACAAAAGCAGACAACTTGCAGGAGAAAGAAGAAACAGTATTGAAGGCACAGTGTTTGTTGCCATCGTTGTCAGTGCATTGTGGCTGTGCGGACAACCATACCGAGTGAACGCCTGCTGACAACTTCATCCGATATCCACCTAAATAAACTGTACAACATAAGCATGAACACAAACAAGAATACAAAGACAAGCACACAGACATAGATACATGCAGATGGATGAGCATATGCATAACCATAAACATGAAGATAAATGGAATATAAACAGACGCGCTTTACCCATACGTTTGGCTATACATACGCATGTGTATATACGAATATACAGATATATCCATATATATATATGTATGTATGCATATACGTATTCGTACATGTATACGTATTCGTATACGTGCACGTAAATGTCCACATCTACACACACACACATTGAAGCATTGATGGTAAAAGTAGTCACTTCTAAGCACCTACATCGTCTACACATGCTGAAACTGTTAGCAGTGTGTACTGTTACTGCTACTGGTCTCGTTAACAAACAAATTCTCTCCTCCATCATCGCCGCCGTCCCCTTTGTCGTCCCCCTTGTCCTCAAGAAAATACTCTGTGTATGTTCGACGATCACGACACTGCGGATCATGACGGTGACAAAGCTTAGTTCTGCATGAGGCGATGCGATGGTGAGCTGCACTCCTTCGAAAAATCGCGTTGGAGAAGCCGCACTCAACTTCAGTGGAATGCTGAAGAAAAGTCCTCTTCTTCCTTGTTGTCGTCGCCGTCCTCATCATCCTTCTTCTCCTCTTTCTTGCCTCCTCCCAGTCCGAACATAGCACCATGCCAGGATTAACCTCAGCTCAAGCTGCAGGATACGAGTGCTGACAGTTATAACTGCAGTGAGACTAGCACCACCCTTACTAAGGACCACGTCGACCATGAACATGCCTACCACTGCTGAGTTGCACCTCAATGCACAAGGGTTCCTTAGGACTCTGAAGGGCAAACCTGGGCAAACATCAATGGCTTGTTGTAACCACCAGCTTTGGCAGCTCTACCTTCACACCGAACGGATGACATCCGCCTAATGTGCATCCGACAAAAGGCATTTCGCAAGGTCATCAAATCTTTCGGCTTGATCCCTTGATGTTGCAATCCCACACAAAAACTAAAACTACACCCAATTCCTCCAGTCTGCCGAGCTGCTGGTGAGCATGGCTTCGTCGCTCCAACTTTTACATCGCACAACTTGCGATTTCAAGACACATGGACCGAACATCCGATGCTAGATGTTACATAATGGAGCTGATGTTGCATCTGACCCTCCTGATGAGGTTTGATTGACTTTTACCATCAAAGCTGGCACTATTGGGTTTTCACTTTGCGAATATCTGCCTTCTTATTAATCTGTGCAAAGCTGTTTTTTCATGCAATAACAAAAGCTGTGCCATCCGCGGCCACGAAAAACCTGTGCCTCGGAACCTTGAAGTTTGTTTTAAGTTTCATCCACAGAAATGAAAAGGATTTTCGTCGAACAAAAAGGCGACAGCTGCGGAGGTGTGAAGAGCGAAAACAAAATGATACACAGACGAGAAGGAGAAGAGAAACAGCCAAACGAACTTGCCAAAGACATGCAAAACAAATCAAACAAAAACAAAAGCTTTCCAGGGTGAGTACACCTTGTGCCACAGCAGCAAAGTAGAACGACTACAACGTTTGGCTTCTTTTTACTGCTACTGCTCTTTGCCACCACACGACTTACCACGAACGACTACTGCAACTGCTGCCACTTCTTCACTGCAAGCAGTTGCTACGACTTCCCATTTATGCAACTGTGGCTGCTGCTGCTTACTGCTGCACATGAAACCATTTCGCAGACGTGAGCTTGAGCTCACTTTGAAGCGAGAATACCGGCGCGTAGCTTTAACGAGCTAATAGTTTCTTAAATCGGAGTTCAAGAAACCACTGCTTTGCAAAACGCATGTTCATGCAACAGATGGCGATCTTTCTTAGATTCCTGCGGAAGATAGACTTGCAGGAAAAACTAGAAGACAATTGGCCCGAAAGCATCATCAGCGAAGAGTGTTGCACTACGTCATAGAATCCAGTGTATAGGGTCATAGAGTCACCGAGTCAAAAGCACGGAGTCACAGAGTCGGAGTGTCACATACAGTCAAGAGTCGTACAAGTCATAGTTCATAGAGTCATCGAGAAATAGAGTCGAGTACATGTCAAGCACAAGTCATAGTTCAAAGAGTCATAGAGTCATATAGAGTCATAGAGTCACAGTGAGACAGAATCATAGAGTCATAGTGTTATAGAGTCATAGCGTCAGAGTGAGAAAGAGTCATAGAGTCATGGAGTCATCTATGTACCACGCACTTGACTTGATGTAGTTCACTCTATGAACACTAATGTTCAGGTTTAGCGGGTTTAGGGTATAGTCCAACATGACGCAGAAGTCTTCCTTTCCTAGCTCCGGAACCTCACTATATAGACATCCCTGTTACTGTGGTTTCAACGTGACTCTATGACTCTATGCATGGTCACTTTATGTCGCAGCAGTAGTAGTAATAGTAGTGTAGTTGTAGTTGTTGTTGTGGTACTAGTAGTAGTAGTAGTAGTAGTAGTAGTAGTAGTAGTAGTAGTAGCAGTAGTAGCAGTAGCAGTAGTAGTGAGTGTAGTAGTAGTAGTAGTAGTAGTACTAGTAGTAGTAGCAGTAGTAGTAGTAGTAGTAGTAGTAGTAGTAGTAGTAGTAGTAGTAGTAGTAGTATTCTTTTGTAGTAGTGGTAGTAGTAGCAGTAGTAGTAGTAATAATAGTTGTAGTAGTGGTAGTGGTAGTAGTAGTACTAGTACTAGTCGAACACTCGACAACGCCAATCTCTGTGAAGGGTTGCAAGTTTCACCTCAATGCACATCAAAAGTAATAACTTTACCTCGCGTTCGAACACTCGACAACGCCAATCCGTGTGAAGGGTTGCAAAATTCATCTCAATGCACATCAAAAATTGCAACTTTACCTCGCGTTCGAACACTCGACCACGCCAATCCCTGTGAAGGGTTGCAAAATTCATTTAAATGCACATCAAAAATTGCAACTTTGCCTCGCGTTCGAACACTCGACCACGCCAATCCCTGTGAAGGGTTGCAAAATTCATCTCAATGCACATAAAAAATTGCAACTTTACCTCGCGTTCGAACACTCGACCACGCCAATCCCTGTGAAGGGTTGCAAAATTCATTTCAATGCACATCAAAAAATGCAACTTTACCTAGCGTTCGTGCATTCGACCATGCCAATCCCTGTGAAGGGTTGCAAAATGCAGTTGAGCTGCGCCCAAACCCTGTGAAGGGTTGCGCGGCGCCCGCAAAATGTGTAGCTTTACCTTGCGTTTGAACACCCGAGGAGGCGAATCCCTGTGAAGGGTTCACGGCGCCCAAAAAATTTGTAAATTTACCTCGCGTTTGAACGCCCGAGGAGGCGAATCCCTGTGAAGGGTCCGCGCGCCTAAAATGTGAAACTTTACCTTGCGTGTGAACGTCCGAGAGTTCCAATCCCTGTGAAGGGTTGCGCGGGAACCGCAAAATGTGTAACTTTACCTCGCGTTTGAACGCCCGAGGAGGCGAATCCTGTGGGTGCGCCTAAAATGTGTGACTATACCTCGCGTTTGAACGCCCGAGGCAGCGAATCCCTGGGAAGGGTTGCGCGGGAACCCCAAAATGTGTAACTTTACCTCGCGTTTGAACGCCGAGAGGCAAATCCCTGGGAAGGGTTGCATTCCCGATGGACGACAACGGTGGCCCCTGGGCTTAGAAGAGAGAATTGGATACCGAGATGTAGAGAGTAAGTCATAGAGGCATAGAGAGTCAGTCATAGAGTCAAGTAAGAAAGAAAGTAAGTACAACTGAGTGTAGAGAAGCAGAAGATGCAAGAGCAAGCTAGGGCCCGCCTGGAGCATCTGCATGATTGTGGCTTTATTGATCGCGGGAAAGCCACGGGTTTCGGCCAATGCTGTAGGTGAGCCTTGCCGTTCATGACGCCCACCTGACAAGCAGCACCCCGCATTAACGTCTTCCAAGCGGCACTGATTCAGAGTCTGAACGGACAAGGAACGTCTGCAATCACCTCTTAGATGTGCTGCACATGGAATCCACGAACCCGCCTCTTTGGCCGGAACTCCGATCTTCTCACTAGGTTTTGGCTCAACACCGCGGTTTTAGGTTATCTTACTGATGTCCCCGACAGGAGTTTACACCGGGTACCTGACCCCTCGTCTCAACCGCCTCATCCAATACCGTAAAGTTGATCACCTGGAACTTGCAGTGCCCGAACTCGCTGCGGCCTTCGGACAGAAGCTTCTGCGACCTGAAAAAAGGCTATTGCCATGCTATTCGTGGCTGCCTTCTAGAATTTCTACTGGCCTCACTCTGGCATCATAGTCGCAAAGAAGCCCAGCGCTCGCCCTGTGACGGCCCCTGACCTATGTTATGCTTGCGACTTACTTGCTTACTTCACTCTACTTCACTCTGCTTACTTACTTACTTACTTGACAGTTGACTTTGGACTCTATGTTGTGCTGCTTGTGACGGGTTTCATGTGCTCAGGTCGTCCTGTGCTCCGACTTGCGAATGGTCACGGTGGCAACCTTTAACTTCAACCGGCAGTGGCCATCCACTCTCGCGCTCGCCAGCAATCCCTTTGTGTCTTCCAGGTTCCACACCGTCATCCGCCACTTCGGCATCCCGGAACCGCAGGTCGCTGAGAACAGCGATGCAAACACCCCGCCGCGACCATCACACGCTCTTCCCAGCCCGTCGGCCAGTGACGCATCACCCGGAACCAATCTTGGGAAGCAATTGACGAGCAACGGGATGCATCCACGCCCGCTTTGCCCAAAGAAGCGCCGGCAGGGGCGCGCTCACACGACAAGCTGCTGGAGAAGCTTGGGAACATCATGGCCGTCCAACAGCTCGACAAGTCGCGGCCTCTCCAATATCAAGGCTGGTCGAGTTGACCGAGGGACTCTGATCGTCCTTCCTCGAGCAAGATATGCACTTAATTTTGCTCAGAGGTCAACTCCATGATGGCGATCAAGTTGCAGCAGAAGTTGAGGCTCTCGGGCACAGAGGCGGCCGATTATTTCAGTAATCAGGTTTTTTTTTTCAGAGTTTCTGAGAGCATCCGCATTTCTCCTTTGCAGGTTTTGCTTGTCGTAGACAACAGGCTCAGAATTCCTCACTTTTCGTTGGAGCAGTCATGCTGTCATACAGTTCCACCGGCACTGCCACTCAACTTCCGTGTTTGTCGTCAAGCACCAAAACAGCTTGGCTCATCCACTCGGTGCAGGTATCCCTTGACGATCTTCAGTCTGAGAAGCCCCTGGCGGATTTCTTGGCAAGAATGCAACGCTAGTAGTTCGAGCATAGTCAAGTCTCTGTCTTTGGAGTTGTTCAGCTTCGGGCTGGTTAAAGTACAGTTGCTCGGGCTACAGGATTCAGTTCTCCATCTTTTCCTCACTGTGCTGGCAATCCTTGAGTCATGTGATCGCGGTGCCACACATTGCCAGCTTTTTGGCAATCGCGCTCTTTTACAATGCTCGGACTGGCATCAACAGCAGTCCAGGGATCTGGAGACGCATCGCTACAGTTTCGGTTTAATTTGAATCTCTTGCTTCCGGTCCCAGGGTCAGAACATTCAAGCACATGTGGTCTCCACGGATTCCTTTGCGGCTTCCAAAGTTGAGATATATTTTCTGCTTCCCCTGTTGCAGATGGTAGTTTCTTGTGCAACAGGTCGCATTGGCACAACTTTTCAGCTTTCTGGCAGGCATGCTTTGGTCGGACTTGTACAGAAACAGCAGTCCACTTGGGGATCTGGAACTCAGATCCCGCATCAAGTCAAGGCGAGAGCAAGAGAGCACTGTTCAGAGAAGGCGATACAAAGCCATTGGGTGATGTCATGCTTTTGCGCAAATCTCGACTTACGTTAGCTCCAGGCGGTCCAATGCTCTCGGTCTTTTCCATGGTGTGTCCAGGAGTAGCTCACTAAGCATTGTGGCAGCGAGCTCGAAAAGTGGAGCGGAATCGGGATGTTGTCTCCGGTATCACTTGTGCCAACTTGTGCTACCGGCACGTTGCAGAGTGTCACAGGTGCTGAACAGCAAAACGGACAGTTTCTTCCAATATGCGCATTTATCACATATATATATATATATATGATATATATATGATATATATATGATATATATATGATATATATATGATATATATATATATGTATGTATGTATGTATGTATATATGTATTTTGCTGCACAAACATACTGTTGTACGCATGTACATACATTAGATATGTACACACACACAAAGACACACACACACACAGACACCCACATGCATGCACCACATGCATGCACAAAAACTAACACATCGACAGCTGATCTCCAATCGCCAGCTGCAGCTGGCACGGAGGGGCACGGCGGCGCGCGGCAGAGCAGTTTGAAGTGGGGATCCTTCCATTTTGCAGAGGTTGGATCACAATTTGCCTTCCATGCTTCAAAGTTCCTTGGTTTGTGTTTTTGAGGGCAACGGCCGTCGCCCACCACCCTACAATGGTTCATCCGAGCATCAGCTCCAAATCAAGTCGCGTGACCAGCCTCACAAAAGTTCAAGCGGCTGTCTCACCGGCTGTTTGACACCGATGAAAGGGTTTTGAATGTTGACCGCTGTTCGGAAGTTCGGATCCGATCTCGCCGTGGCTGGCAGCCCTGCAGGATGTCCTTAGTTGCTCATGCACGCAAGCCTGTCATGTCAGATTCCTCACGTTTCCCGTTGCAACTTGTGGGGCTTGGGAGCCTTCGCTGAAGTCTGGCCATGGTGGAGCGACTGCCTTCCTTGAAGTATGCGGCCTGGCCGACACTTCCAAGGGTGTTTTGCGGAGTTTTGAGTTTTGTATGCTCACTTGTTGCTACCATTGGTGAAGCTTAGAGAAGCTTTGTTTCCTCGTGTCATTTCGGAGCAATGAGGTCAAGTTTGGGACGAGTGCGACTTGGAAGCAACGAAGGGCCGTTCGTGTGCACTTCTTGACATGGTGTTCTTCGAATCCGGGCCCGGGCTTCCAGGCTATTGCGCAGGGTGTTTCAGTTACCTCTGCGGGATCTGGTAATTGGTTGCCCGCTGCATTTCCCCAAGCTTGCTAGTGGCTTTAGCACTATGTTGCATTCGAAGTGGGCCCCGAACCCGCGGACCTTAAGGCTTGAGACTTAGCCTAGACCCTGACAGCAACCCTCAGCTTTCAGTGTTGCGGTAGTTGCCGGCTGGAGAGCTTCTCCCTTGCCGGGGTCCAGATTTGTGGGTTCAGGTTGGGTTAGATGGCTTTGTTGGGGGATTGGCCCTGAGAGGCCACAAGCCGGCGCATGTTTGAGTTAATGTTGCTTCCGATGACACGCAGTGCAGTTGACTCTTTGGATGAGGCCTGAACCCTGAAGTCGAGTCTTACAGCTCAAAAGCTCCATTTTTTTGTGCTGCCTCGCGAAGCCCGAAGACCTCGCACTGCACATCCGAGGACATGATGGTGTCCGAGGTCTGTGGCGGCACCATGATGTGGGGCACCTTCAACCAAGAGGCCTCTTCTGCGGGATTTGCGAAGGAATTCAAGTTCTGCTCTGCTCGCAAGGTTGATGGAGTTCTAAGAGCTTCGACACTTCAAGGGTTCGTGCAGGCTCTTGCGCACCACTCAAGCAATGCACCACTGCCACTGGACTTGTGCTGTTGCTGGACGTCTTGCTCTGGTCGTACACGGGTCTTTCCGGTTCGTATTGCCAGTTCCCTTGTTCTTCTCCTCATTGTGCGTCTCACTATGAGTGTTGCTGTCACAATCTGCTGCCGCTACCACCTTTCACTCTCCGAGCTTCTCTCATCTTCGGCTCTGGGCTGGGACAAGTTCGGAAGACCGACTTTTCAGAGCTCCGTTCACACGACTTGATCCCAAGAGAAAAGCCAAACCTGACAAAGCTCCGAGGAGAAGATGGCTCACGAGCAGCTGGATGCCATGGCACCTCGGTGTTGGCTTAAAAAAGTCGGAGCTGGGACCTGATACACAAAACCTCTTCGAGGGCTTCACTGGCTCAAGGCCCTTTCGAACAGGAGGAGTGCCCATGTAACTCAGACAGCACCCCCAAGAGCCAGTGGCACGCCCCACCTGGGTGTTTGTAGCTTCCAAGGTTGCTACAAGGGTTCTACATGGGCTCCTTTAAAGTTGCTTTCAGGGTTCTACAAGGGGTTCTAGAAAGGCCAAATGTCTTCGTTTGGTTCTGCGGGAATGGAAGTTTCCTCAGGTTCGCTTGGGGGTGAACTTCATCGACACCGCCGAGCTGCACCCTGATGCCCACAAAGTCTCCTTGCCTTGTGCGGATAGCTTCGAGGTGAAGCAACATGCATGGCAGGAGAAGTAGCAGCAGCAGCCGTCGTCGTAGTGGTACTTGGTGCCAGTGCTGGTAGTGGTGGTCGTGGTAGGTAGTAGCAGCAGCAGCAGGAGCAGCAGGAGTATTATTGATAGTAGCAGCAGCAAAGGGGCAGCAATGACAACAACAATAACACCAACAAGGATGACGATAACAATGACAAGAACATGACCAACAACGATATTAGCAAAAACAGCAGCAATAGCAATAATAACAACCATGAGGTTACGAGTAAGAAACAACAATAGTCATGATGAGAATAATGCGAGAAATACGAGCAGTACGAATAATAGTAACAATAACAGCAGTAGGAACAATAAAAATAACAATCCTGCATATAAAGAAGAACACTAAAATGAATAAGAATAGTAATTGTAGCAGGGATAAGACTCATACTATTCATACTGCTATCAATAATCATAATGATAGTAGTGACACTAATAAGAAGGCAATAAAACTACGAAGAAATTTCCATAGTAATAACAACAGTAATCATCATAACGATAAGACGAATAACTGTAAATATTACAATATCGAGCATAGTAATAATTTTAACGCTACGCCGCCCTCTTCGGCTTGCCGGAGACCAGACCTGTGACAGATCCATCGACTTGCTTTTGGAATGTGAAAGAGCAAAGCGGATGCAGAAGTGGGAGGGAGGGGGGCAAGGGACGGAGGGGCAGTGGGCCTGTGGCCTCGACGGATATCAACAAGAAGAAGAAGAACAGCAACACTAACACTAACAACCACCACAGCAACAACAATAACACTAGCACTAACAGTAACAGTAACAATAGCAATACCAATAGCAGCTGTAGCAATACCTGTAGCAAGATATGCAAGAGTAGGCGGAGAGCAGCAGTAGTGGCGGTGGCAGTGCGGAGCAAGATTAGGAGTAGGAGGAGTAAGATGAAGCAAGTACGTAGCACAAGAAGCTGATAAACATCACTACCACAGAGTAGAGCATCAAGAGTTACGCTACAAACCGCCATCCTCAGGTATCCGGTGCCCCCGGTAGAGGGGAAGCTGACGGAGGAGTGGATCGGCAACTGGTTGGAGAAGGCGATCGCGAACGGCAGTGTGAAGCGAGAAAAGCCACTTGGGCAATAAAGCCTTCGGTGTGCAAATCTCGATTGCACCGAAGCCCTAGTCCTAGAGGCCTGGTTCCTCCACTCCACGGTTTCTACACCTCGGAATTCTTTACAATGCCGCACCCAGACAGCCCGTCATCAGCTTTGGTTTCCCTGCACTGCGACACTTCATAGGCTCCCAAGCACACGATGAGGCCTTGTTTCCCGATCCGCTGGTCACCGCACACCCTGCCACCTTAAAAGCATCAAAGCCCTACTTCACATGGAAATCCCCGATCCCAAACTGCTTCAGCTCGTCTAGCTCGGTAATCAAGCAGCATAGCGGCTGTGACAATCGTGACATCGTGACTACGATATTGGTAGCCATCGTCGTGCTATAGATACTGCAGCGGTTTTGAGAAAGTTCTTCTTCTTCTTCTTGTGATCCTCTTTCTTTGTTAACAGTTTCTTCATCGTCCTGCACATCAGGTTCTACATCGCCACCAAGGCGAACCTCGGTCCGACAGGGGAGGCGGAGGGTTCGGGCTCTGAGCAGGTGGAGGCAGATGGTCCCCGAAGGCTGCGGTGTTGAACAGCTCAGGGGTTGGAGTTTAAGGTTCTGGGTCATGGCTTGAGGACTTCAGGGAAATTTAGATCTACTGTTCTGTGGTTACGGCAGTATACCGCAGTCTGGCGGCCGGTGGGTCCTCTTGCGCCCCACTGGAGTTCTGTTGGCATCGAAGGAACCCGTCCAACATCGGCGCGCCAGATCTTGAAGGTGGGCGAAGCTTCTGGCTTTTACTTGGTTGGGTCCCAAGAGCAGCTATCTAATTTCAGGTTTTCCTCCGTCTGTTGGAGACCAGTGTTGTCTATTGCTTTCGGTTGTGCTTTTTTCACAGCACAGGGCAACATGTCTTGTTCGGCAGTCTTGCTGCTATGGACAATGTGAAACGAAGTTGACGGCCAAGATGCTGACGTTCACTTCCATCCACTTCCATCCCAAAATCTTTTCATTCTGCTGATGATTACGATGGTGATGATCATTGAGCTTCGGGATTCCTTTCACATCGTAAGTACTTTTTCTTCTTCGCTGCTTCCAATCCTTAGGCTTGTTAGCGTTCTCCGAAACCAAAGAAACTTGAACCCTCAAAGGCCTAAGTGAGGAGTTTCATTCGGCATGTCCCTCAACCCTACGCCGAACTCCCTGAATGCTTCAAAGGTTTGCAGGCATCCTTCCCACGCCCAGTCCTCAACCCATGCTTGAAACCCTAAACCCTATCATTCCCTAAACAGTAAAGATTGAAACTTCACCTGGAGCTCTCACCGTCAAAAAGCCCACTGATCAGCCTTTACAGAAAGAACTCCGGTAGATCCCAAACCCGAAACCGTCGAGAGCACGTCCTGAGCCTGTCAGGCCGAAAGAAGCCTTGGGGCTTCGATGCGGAGTCGCTGATGGCCTCCTGCAAGGCCGCTCTGACAGTGTAGGCCTGGGTGATATACCATGAATGCTACCATGGCGGTCGAGGTGAACTAGTAGAGTCTACAGGGTTGCCGTACTGTCGGGTTTACTAGACAGGTTGGTTTAGGGTTTACGGCATGGGGCATTCGACTTTGGCAAACGATGGGGTGCAGGAATTCAGGCTATCGGCGATGCTTTAAGGTGCTTTGCGGTTGGGGCAACTTGTGTGCTGCGCTTGGGAAGGTTCAGGATGTTGGGTTCACGGTTGGGCGCGGACTGTTCGCTGAGACTGACTTCAGGCTCCTGCGATGAGAAACTTGGGGCATTTTGGCCTTCAGCTGGCAGCATCCAAGACCGGGCAGCCAAATCTGCATAGCGTGTAAGAAAATGGCTGCAAGAAAGGAAGCTGAGCCACAACAGTGCAGGGAGGCATTGGGATAGAGGTGAAGTCCAGTCCGGTTCCTCGAAGCATCCAAGAAAAAAATCCCAAGAAGAGCGAAGAATTGGCTCCCGGGCCGCCGGCGCAGGCATCGCTTGCCAGGATGCGGTGTCAGTACATAGACCTTTACTACTTGCCCCTTGGCCGCGGCCGGCCCTTGCTGGCAACCTGAAGTCTCGCAAAGCTCTCTTTTGCTGCTTTGCTTTCTGAGGCATTGGCCCACCCGGGATACCCCGATCTTCGGCTGTGCCTCCTTCTTTTCGGGAGGTGCCTGAAGATACGCTGAAGTCAGGGCTCTGCATTTTTCAGGCTTTGTGGGTGCTGGAGTCGTTTTTTGGGCTTCTGGGGTTTGAGCGTTGCAGGGCTTGTTGTAGAGGCAGCGGAAGCTGTAACCTCCCTCTGAACATGCACTTTACAGGGAGCTCTCCGCCTAGCACACCTTGCGTCCAACCCGATGCCCGCATCAATCCAGAAATCTCCAGCCCCCGCCTGAAGCTGAACTGTCCGAGCCCTGCAACGATAAACCTCGCCTGGTAAAACATGTCTCTGAAACGACGAGACTGCGAGGCAAGGAGCGGCCAATGCCTCACTTTGACAAGGGCAGCTTGGCTCGCAAGGCCGCAGGTGATGAAGACGTGGCAGGGGTGCTAGAACCGCAATCGTCGTCGTTCCCATCGTAGCAACAGGAGGAGGATGAAGAGGAGCGGCCTAGCAATGATCCGGCAACGGTAGTGGACGTAACAGACAGCCGTCGTTAGAGCTACTGAAATGTGGTGGAGATCGTAGTCGTCGGTGTCTTCGTCGCACTAGTGGCAGCAGGTAGCCCTAAAAGAACGATCAGCCAATCTGTCAACACTCATGACAACGCTAGCGCTAAGAAACATGAAGACAGCAATGACTATATAGCGTGTTAAGACAGAAGCATGGTGAAATATGCACAGTGATTTGATGGGCAATGGCATAAGTTGTGGTGACGGGTATTTCGGACATGCGGAGTATTTACGATGGCCAATGCAACAGAAAGGTAGCACGCATAATACTTTTATTCACAATCGTCTCACGAAGTGTTAGGCAGCAAAGCTCGTGGCATCAGTAGGAATCTCCGAGTATTAGGAGCAGTCATGGAAGTGTGCTAGAGTTCGAAACAATGATATCTTTGGCCGCTAGCCACTGGCGGACTGAGGAAGTGGAAGGTAAGACAAGACGAAGAGACGAGTGCCAACGTACAGATATAGTGCACCCGACGTTGAGGTACCATGGCAGACTTCGAGGCGCAGGTGCTAGCGGTCAAGGGCCTCTTCGATGCAGGCCCATTGCAGATGCCAGTTCTTCCTCCCATGGGCAGGGCTAGCAGTAGCGTTGATGTCTGCTGCATTGTTTAGAACTCGGCGCATGTCGTTGTATTGATTGATCGTGTTGGTTTGTCGTGTCAAGAAACTGTTACTGTGGTTGCTTGGAGCAATAACGTTTTCTAGGTACCATCGCTGCAAGTCTTCATCTCGTTGGTACGAGCGAGCACTGCAGCAGCATGCTGTAGAGCATTTGTGGACCTCATAACTGTTGCAGCACCTCTCCTGCTCATCATGTGTTGAGCAGGGCCAAGATAAGAGTTTTGGACTTTGTAGTGACCAGAAACCCGGTCTTCCGAGCCGCGTGTCGAAGAATTGACCCAAAGCCCCAAAGCATAAACCCCTGGTGGTAGCCCGCACTCGCTGTTTTAGGGATCCTTTACATGTTTAGTGTTAAGGAGTTGAGGGTCCGGGTGCCTTTCAAGTCGGCTCCTCGGAAGGTTTGATCAAGCACTGGGCGCTTTCCAACGAGAACAACTACGGGGCCGCTCTGCCGGTTTTTTCCGAGGCTCCTGGCGGAAGGCCAAGGCATCCAGAAGCCTCCGAGTAGACCCAGGAACAGGAGGTGGGCTTCGGTCACATTCTAAGGGCTACTTAGGACTACTAGAGAGGTGATCGAGCTTTATTACAAAGGTTGCTACGAGGGTTTTTTCGACAGAGGTTACTGGTTCAGGGCTTTGACTCCAAACCCTGGCCTCAGGACCCATAGACCCATGGCTTTGCAGCGCCCGGGCACGGATCCCAAACCAAGGAACGGGGACTGTATTGAACGAGCCGGCACCCTTTATGTGACAGAGGGTCTCGGGTCTAGGATGTCGGTTTTGTCGGTGTTTAGTGTTTTGGACTTAGGGGATTTGGGGTCGGTACTTTAGGGTCCGGGAGTTGCTGGGGGTTTGGCGTTGGGATCCTGTAGGGCGTCATGATTTCGGCATTCGGGGCTGGCCCAGGTCGCCATGTTCTGCGTGGCCTGCGACAAGCTGGGCGTGCCCCGACCAGTCTGCATACAGAACGCACCTCCGTCAGCAGTTTAGGGGCTTCTGGGATCCGAGGATGTCTGCGGTTTGGGGCCCTTCAAGTGAAGACCCCTTGTCAAACCCAAGTAAACCCCTTTGTAAACCTGCTTTACCCAGATACTACCCTATACATATCTTGGGCTTCTTGGACAAGAGCAATGGTTGTATGTCGACCCTAGAAACACCGAGACATGCAACCTTGAGCCTTTAACCCTAAAAGTAGAGCGAGACAGATAAGCATGCCTTCCTTGTGGAGCATTCCAGAATATGCAGCTCCGTCGAATTATGTTCCTCGATGTTTCCCGTGCTTTCCTCCAACATAGAAACTAGCAGCAAGCACAGGAGGCACGATTATTTAAGTTTCTGACGATGGCGAGGAATAGGAATGGGAACACATAAAATCAACCCACCCCAACACAAAAATTGATGCGTAAGAGTATCTAGTATCAGGTGTGCGTGTTTCGCATACAGAGTAGCAAAAGATCGCAGAAAATAGGGGGCGCTGCTGGCATTAATGCCAATGTTGCGCCTTAGGCATTCAGAATGACGAGCAAAATCAGCAGGAGTTGAGCATGAGGAATGCACGCAATAGGCAGAGCGCAAGGTGACAGTAATGATGATGATTATGATGGTGATGATGGTGCTTGTGAGGGTGGTAACTCCTGTCAGCTTTTGAGTTTCATTGTCTCACCATGCTTACGGCAGAAGTGATGTTTTTGAACGGCGACGATACCCCAACATCCACGGTCACAGGCCAGCCTGCCTCCCAATCTTCTAGGTTTGCTTTGGGTTTCTGCCTTTGGTGAGCTCTCCCAGGACTATTCCCTCGCCAACCGCACCTTCGAGAGCGTCCACGGGCTGCAAGATGGGAGGGCCTGCAGTGCTGGGATCCCTCGGTCTTTAATGGGCTTTGGCCGCGTGGGAAGTAAGATTGGGCGTTGGTGTGTTTTTGGTGCTTCGCTTGTAGTGCCCCGATCCACCGAGTAGGTAGCATCTGAAAGCCCCAACTTCAACCGGCTGCCGGAATCGGAGGCACAAGGAGACTGTAAATCCAGGATTCCAAGCTTGAAGCTCGATGCCGTTGGTTTTGAATGAAGCCTCAAACGAGTATCCTTCGGCTCTGAAGGGTTCGATCATCAACTGTCAACCCCAAGCGCCCTTGCGTGAATGGTTTCCACGGGCATGCACGCCGCCCTAAAAGAAAAGCCCTGAACCGCCATGCAAACTCCAATCCCGAGGACGGCTACGAGAGCTGCCACCGCTTCGGTGTGGTCAGCTGCCACTACGGAGCCTTGGCAGGCCTGCCGGAAACTCGATCTGCGAAGAACACACATTAGAAGCCCAACAAAATATGAACAATCGTGCCAATCATACTTGCCCTATGAGATCACAAGCAACAATAGCAGTACTGATGACATTAACAAATGAACGACGATATTAACACAGGTAATAAACGTGATGTTCATGTACTTCTTACTCACATATGCTGCTGCTGCTACTACTCCTGCTGCCGCTGCTACTACTACTGCTGCTACCACTACTACTACTACTACTACGACGACTACTACCACTACTACTGCTACTACTGCTACTACTGCTACTACTGCTACTACTGCTACTCCTACTACTACTACTACTACTACTACTACTACTACTACTACTACTACTACTACTACTACTACTAACTACAACTACTACTACTACTACTACTACTACTACTACTACTACTACTACTACTACTACTACTACTACTACTACTACTACTACTACTACTAAACTACTACTACTACTACTACTACTACTACTACTACTACTACTACTACTACTACTACTACTACTACTACTACTACTACTACTACTACTACTACTACTACTACTACTACTACTACTACTACTACTACTACTACTACTAACTACATACTACCTACATACTACCTACGTCATATGTCACACTACATACTACATGCTACATAGTGCACGCTGCATTTTACATACTACATACTACGTATTACATCAACTATAGCAAGAGCTGGGTTTTGGCAAGCCATCATACAGAAACCAGCAGATTTCAGTGTTGTTAGTTCCAATTTCGAGGAAAGAGCACCTACAATAACAAGATGAATAGGGCTGCCGCTGGCAGACATATACTGACACGGGCAGCACGGGTACAAGTAGTCGCAACCTCAAGTTCAAGCGTAAGCTACAGGTTCAGGGCTAAGAAGGTTTAGGTCCCAGCTTGATGCTGCAGTGTTGAGTGTTTCGGTTTGGTTGTTTCAGGGTGGAGGCTTCTTGAGAGTTACTCAGATTATTGGCCGTGATCAAAATGTGGACAGTCATCAGGATGCAACCTCATAGAGACCCAAAGAGTGGTGGTGACATTGGCAGTCATGGTATGGTATCATTCTTGGCAACAGTAGTAGTTGCGGTCGTGATGATCAGAACACTACACCTACTCCACCACCATGGTTGCGGTTAGAAGCAGCTCGCTCTGTTACTTCGGAGTGCGATCATGAAGAAGCTTATCAGCAGAATAAGTGGACCGTCAGGTGGCGTTCTCACAGGCAAGTACCTCAAGGATTCGCCGTACGCGAAGAAGGACGCCACACCCTGACACCCTATCCAAGCTTGAAGGCCGCAACTTTTGAGCCTGCAACCATGGAAAGCTCGTGAAGCCCTGCACCAAAGCAAGACTGGACCTTACATCTTCATTTACTGAGAGGCTCCAATCAGCATGATTCGATTGTCGAGTTAAGCAGGATGCAGCAGGGTGTTTCGGGCTTTAGGTGGCCCCGCGGATCGCTAGATCTCTTGAGACGTTGGGGTGGCGGTGTTTCGGTTGCGTGACTGGGAGAGCGGCCCAAGCGAGAGGTTCTCAGAATGGAGTCCCGTCTTCGGGAGCCTTTCTCAGAAGGATTCTTCAGTTCAGAGGCTCTATGAGCAGGATCTGAGATTCTCAGCAATTGTCGCTGTGTCCAATCCTTGAGACCCATGCAAGCTCAAAGCCTTACCTTTGAACCCTGAGCTGCATGCAGGTCCCGGTAAGCAACTACATTCGTTGCAGCGTTGAGGGTTTCGGCTGAGGGTTTTGGGTTCAGGGTTCTGGTGCCTCGAGTGAGCCACCGGCAAAACCCGTCAGGTACCTACTGGACATCCTACAACTTACAACATGCTGCTGGATGTTTGAGTGGCGAAGCATATGTAGCAATCGTTCGCTATTCGCACGCATGATCACAACACCAGCGTGTGGTTGCAAGCGACCGCAAGCAGTAGCAGGATCCTGGCCGCTCTCTCTCCGACTGCCGGCACAAGGCCGGAGCCCGACAAGGGCTTGGGGATCGTGGGGTTTCAATGCGCTGTACCGTTACACCATGAAACCTCAAGCACTTTGGAGTTTAGCGATCCCTTGTTACGTGTGCAGGTCAAGGCTCATGAATCTGCCTCGGTTTAGCTAGGTTAGACGGCACAAGGTTTTAGATGTGCTTGAACGGAAAACCACTTGATGAAAGTCTTCCGCAGGGTTGACTACGCTTTCCTTCTGTTCTGTCCACACGGGCTCATTGGCGTGGGTCGCCAGGCGAAGCCCGGATTCCAGCCCCGCTACGGCTTCAAGACGACCATGGAGGCTCGGGGCTTAGGGAGTTTGTTGTTTCCTTTTCTGGGTTTCAGGCTTTTTCGAGTTTTTTGCTGGGTTTAGGGTTTAGGGATCTTGTTGTTACAAAGCGTAGAGTTCGGGGTTTTTGTTGGGGGTCTGATTTTCGGATAGAGTGTTGGGATCGAGTGTCTGAGCTTTGTTTCCGGTTTCGTCCTTGGGCTCGAGATGAGACTGGCCCTGAGCAGTTTGGGGTTCGGGGTTCAGGGCTTGCAGTGATGTTTTAGACACTGTGCAGAGTTTCGGGTTGGGAGTTTGGAAAAGTTTGACGCATAGTTTCTGCACAGACCTCCTGGAAACGGACCTGCCACTAGCATTGCATGGCAGCAGTGTTCGGGGCCACCGGATTCAGAATTCTTTGATTCTGGATTCTGGCATGCAGGGCTTCTGACAGCGTCGCTTCGCGAGGCTTCGTCCGTAAGTTCGCGGAAGCATCCCTTCGAGGCATTTCTCAGAAACGCTGCATGCAACCTGAAGCCCGAGCGCCGCAAATCGGCCCTGGACTCCGACAGCCTGGAGAAAGAAGCCACGTCAGTCCCTTTACAAACTGAAGGCTGCCGACCGCTATCGGGCGATTGCAGAGCCTCCTGTCAGCTTAAAGGGTCATTCCTTTCAAAGGGTAGCAGGGGTATGACTTTTTCTGAATTTGTGAGAAGACGTCGCAGATTCTTGGGAGAGAACATGCCAAGTCAAATGCCACCCGGGCCTAGCCAAGGTTTGCAGATTTCACGACCAGAATATGGCGTGAACTAGTAGTAAGAGTATTTCCGAGGGTTCCTGAACCTGAATTTAGAAGCCAGCAAAACCACATTCCAATTTTTGTTGAACCTCTTCGGGGTTGCCTTTAGAGTGGATGATTGGCGAGCTTTCGGAACGTAGACTCATCATGTGCTCCCAGCTTCGCCGCACCTGCAAGTGCGCAAGTTTGTTTGCAACGAACTGACTATGAGTCTCCACATCTTCGCAGCAATCTCATTAAGGGGGAGACGCACAAGAGCATCTGTGGGATTACACCAGAACCAAGACCAAGACCAATAACACTGCAGAGATTCTACATGGCTTCGCAGTCGTGAGGCTCAGGCGGACCCTCTACCCTCAACTGCTTAAGCTGAGAAACTGGTACCTCAACCCGCAAGCCCGGACAGAGGGAGCTCCAAGCCCGAAGCTCCACTCCAGGCCCCAAACACCCCCCCCCCCCCCCCCCCCCCACGGAAGCGACCTCCGTCGAGGCGCATTGGCCTGACCCCCACCGAATTGGCCCTTGCCTGGGCAACTCCTCCCTGTCTTACGGCCGAACGGTTTATTCAGGCTCGAAAACCAGGGTTCTGCAAGAGGGTTCAGGTTTGAGCGTCTTGGGCCTTGGGGCTGCAGTAGGGGTTCGGGTTGGAGGGTTTTCGGGTTCAGAACTTTCTGTGGTTTGAGTTTAGGGTTTTCGCGCAAGCTTTAAACATGAGAATAATTCTGCAGCAGTCGCACCACTTGAGCCTAGTAATCAAGATGCTTGGAAAGTCCTTGATACTCGTAGTAGCAAGCAGAACAACCAATTCACACATTTTGTTTTTTTTTTTGGTGCTGTTGTTGCAAAGACGTTCAAATCATAAAGGTGTCGCACTTGACATCTGGAATGGTCAGCGTCGCGGGGCTGAATGTAGGTTCAGGGTTAAAGCTCTACACAAAGGCACAACCACCGCGGGCAAACAGTTTGGAACCCTAAACCCTGAACTGATCCTTATTCCCAAGTCCGAAATCCAAGCCTAGACCCAAAGCCAGGCAAAGCAGCGGCCGTTCGTGGGCTCGGTAATCATCGGCTCAACGACGGTGCGCCAGGCCGGGGTGCGGGGCTGGCGATGCGAATCGATCTGATGCAGGGACAGTGGCCATGAACCGTCGCCTTCGTCCCGGCTGTTTCTATGCCAGCGACGACAAGAAGCAAGAAGTAATAAGAGCGCACATCGTAACAACAAAGAAAAGTGCATGTGTGAAGCCATCACCACGACGAAGACGACGACGACTGCGACGACTACGCCGACGACGGAAAACGACTACTAAGACTTTTGCGACTACTACGACTACTACGGCTACTACGACTATTACGACTACTACGACACGACTACTACGACTATTACTACTACTACTACTACTACTACTACTGCTACTACTACTACTACCACTACTACTACTACTACTACTACTACTACTACTACGACTCGTACGACTGCTACGACTACTACGACTACTATGACTAGTACGACTACTATGACTACTATGACAACTACGACTACTATGACAACTACGACTACTATGACAACTACGACTACTATGATTACTACGACGACTAGTACTACTACTCCTGCTGCTGCTGCTGCTGCTGCTGTTAGTATTAGTACTAGTACTGCTAGACTACTATTACTACTACGACGACGACTACTACGAACCATTTCTTCGGGAACGATGGCTGAAGAACTGAAGCATCGGCCGCAGCTTTGTTTCGTGTAGGTGGAGGAGTGCGTGGGCGCCTTCTTGGTCAAGGTGGATCCGCTTTGCTTTCTGTCTTTCTGTGTGGGATGCTGGTGCTCTCTTTCTCTCGTTTGTTCTTGCCAAGTTTTGAAAGAAGTCCCGCTCCTTTTTTTCCAATTTATTACTCTTCTGCATTTGTTTGCTCGTCCCACGGATTCTGTATCCGAATCT